CAAATATTGTGCATGCTAATAAACTTATCTGGGGTCAGAGACAGAGCAGCCACAATATTCAACTTTAAGGATAGGCAGTGGTAGCACACACCTTTAGTCCTAGCATTCCAGAGGCAGAAATCCATGTGTTCAAGGATACAGACAAGCATGGAGACTCATCACGCCTTTAATCCCATAAAGCAAGCCTTTAATACCAGGGATGAGGCAGAAAGCAGAAATGTATATAAGGCATGTGGACCAGAAACTAAGGGCATTTGGCTGGTTAAACTTTCAGGCTTTGGAACAACACAGTTCAGCTGAGATGCATTCTGGATGAGGACTCAGAGGCTTCCAGTCTGAGGAAACAGGATCAGCTGAGGAATTGGCAAGGTGAGATAGCTGTGGCTGGTTCTGTCTCTCTGATCTACCAGCATTGACCCCAATAGCTGGCCTCAGGTTTGATCTTATTAATAAGAACTTTTAAAATTCATGCTACATCACAGAGACTGAACAGACAACCAAGAAGCCTGCATGAGACGGACTTGGTCCCTCTGCATATATGTGACAGTTGGGTAGCTTAATTCTTGTGGGCTCCTAACAGTGGGAGCAGGGGCTGTGCTTGACTCCTTTGCTGGCTTTTGAGACTCTCTTTCTCATATTGAGTTGCTCTCCCCAATCCTTAATTCAAGGAGATGTGCTTAGTCTTACTACTACTTGACACTCAGTGTCTTATTGATATCTATGGGTAGCCTGCCTTTTTCTAAATAGAAATGGAAGAGAAGAGGTTTTGAGGGTCAGAGAGGGAGGCGGAAAGTGGGACTAGGTGTAGAGGAGGGAGGGGAAACTACATTTGGGATCCAAAATAAATAAATAAATTTTAAAAAGTTACAAAATAAATAAAAAATGTATATATTTTCATATATTTTAAAAGTGGGCTGGATAAATGGTTCAGCAATTTAGGGCATGCACTGCTTTTGGAGAGGATGTGAATTCAGTTTCCATGACTCAAGTCAGGTCACTGACAGTTGCCTCTAACTCCAGCTTCAGGATATCCTAGGCTATCTGAAGCAAGCAGATATATCGCTTCAGAGACACATAATGCTGAGACAAAAACATTTCAAGCATTTGCATAACCATTCAATGTTCTAAGTCAGGGAAACTTGATATAAGCAAGCATAAGAAACCTTTTGAAGGCTGTTCAATCTCTTCCACTTCCCATAACAACTAAGAAACCCTAAGTGGAAATGAAAAAGTAAATCTTTCCAAAAGCAAAGCACATCTAGATTTCATGGTCTTACTGGCTACAGATAGTATGCTAATTTCACAGTTCTGGGTATGAATTCTGGCTGATCAGGCCTTGATACAAGTTAGCTCCACAATGTAAATGCCACTATTGAAACTTGAGGAATAGACTGCCATACTGTCCCCTGTTCGTTTACAACGGCATTGCAATTCGCAGGGCTACAGATTGCTTCTCTCCTATAACAGAGAACTTACTACTATCACTTCACAATATCCACTATAATTTCTAATTGCATTCTAAGTACAGATTTTTATAATCACAGATAAACATAGCTCTAATTTTTTAACCAAAATGCTTCTTTTAACAGCAGATACTGATCATGACAGAAAACCACAACTGATCAAAATGCAGAGAACAATTGATAGTGTTATGCCCAGCCATAATTGATATAGCTGCAACACATCCTGTACACCTAAGGCTCAGGGAAAATCTTGAAAGAGAGGACAGAAATATTTCAAGAGTCAGAGGACTAGGATGAAACATGTGCTGTGAGATAGTGCTCTAGAGATGACAGAGAAAGAAAGCTACCAAAAGAAAATTTCAGCAATCTGGTTGCCTATACAAGATTCTAACAATGACAACAATTGCACGTCAATATTGTGTTCTGCACAGCTTGAGTTTAGCAACCTGACTAGGATGCGGAAGAAATGAAAAACAGACACAAAAAAGCTGTGATCAGGTGAGTTGTGCTTACTCTAATGGAGCGGCATCAACTACACAAGCAACCTGGAACCTCAGGGCATTTATTAAGTGTAGCACAAAGAGATGGAGTTAGTTAATCTCAGTAGGAGGTCTCTGTAGAGAAGCAGTCTCAAGATACCATAGTCCAGTAGGAAGTTGAACTTGCTACTTTTTGCACAAACTAGTCAATTGTTTGTGAACAATAGTACTTGCATATACTGTCAATATTTGTACTTAGGTCAGAGGAAGTCTTTGCCACCCCTCTCAACTTCACCAGGGAAAGATATTGTCAATTCTCATGATTCTGAGGCATTGATGTCTCTGACATGGCTGTTTCCATATCAACACCACAAATCCTTTCAGAACTTCATTCAGTCTTTACATATTCACTCAAGGATTACTCTGCTTCTCATAACCAGTGTAAATGGGGCAATTCTCACAAGGATTCAACCTAGGACAGCAACAGGAAATAAATGGTTGTTGAGCAAGGGGGAATAGTCTTCTTTGGGGATGAGTCACCTAATAAGCTAGATAATTCCAAAACATCAGCCCAAAATACATATGGACATCACTCAATGGTACATGCAGGTTGTTCTTATAAAGGCACCTATATAAACATCTGTAAAATCTATGATTAAAGAATTAGTGGACATAAATTAAGAAGCACTGGGAAGAACACTGGAGAAATTTAATGGAGGAGAGGGAGGGGGAACAGTATAGAAACACTATATATATGAAAATTTCAAAAAATATAAAAGCAATGGTCATTTATAATTATAGTTATAATTTAGGAGATTATCCATTCAGAAAACATTTGTCATTTTAAAGAAATTGTACCTATGTTCCACAGAAATATTACCATGACATTGTTAATTCCTCTCAGGTTCCCTCTGTACCAAAATGCTACCTTCCAAACTCAGTTCACAAGGTTGCTTCTGGTTTCAGTAAGTTATATTTCTGTGCTCTGCCTTACCACTCGTGCCTGTTAGTTTGTTATTGTCAACTTGACACAAGCTAGAATCGTCTGGGAAGAAGAATCTCAGTTGAGAAGATGCCTCTCTCAGATTGCCTGTAGGCAAGTCTGTGGGCTTGGATGTAAGGATGTGAGAAGGTACAGTTCAATTGGGTGGTATAAGAATGCGGGCTGTTCCAGCTCTGTTCCAGTTCAAATCTCCCATTTCCGTATGTTCTCATTCCCCAATTCCTTGCCCTCCATCCCCCCCCACCACTCCCATTTTGCTCATATATATCTCATCTATTTCTCCTGTGCTGGGCTATCTATGTGTCCCTCTTAGGGTCCTCCTTGTTAGCTAGCTTAGGTTTGAGCTCGAACAGGGACAGAGTGGGAGAGCAAGGAAAGAGATACCATAATAAATGAAGACTTCATGGAAATAGGAAGAAACAGGGTGCTAGGGAAGTTCCCAGGAATCCACAAGGATGACCCTACTTTAGACTACTAGCAATAGTCGTGAGAGTGCCTGTACTGATCTACTCCAGTAACCAGATTAACGAATACCCTAACTGTCATCATAGAGCCTTCATTCAGTTACTGATGGAAGCAGATGCAGAGATCCACAGGCTGAGCTCCGGGAGACAAACTGATGAGAGAGAGAAGGGATTCTATGAGCAAGGGACATCAAGATCCTGATGAAAAAAACATACAGAGGAGGCCAGCCAAACTAGTGTAAACCATGAACTGTGAACCAATAGCTGTGGAGCCCCCATGGGACTGGACTAGGTTCTCTGGATAAGAGAGACAGTTGTTTAGCTTGAAATGTTTGGAGGGCCCCTAGCTAGGGAGATCTGGATCTGTCCCTGGTGCATATGTGGGCTTTGTGGAGCCCAATGCCTATGGTGGGACACCTTGTGTAGCCTTGGTGCAGGGAGGAGGGGCTTGAACCTGCCTGAACTGATTGTGCCCGGCTTTGCTGATTCCCCATGGGAGACCTTGACTTGGAAAAGGTGGGAATGGGGGAAGGGTTGAGGGGAACTTGGGGGGGTGGGAGGAGAGCAGAGGGGGGATCTGTGGTTAGTATGTAAAATGAATAGAAAATTTCTTAATAATAATAAAAAAAGAATGCAGGCTGAGCAAGCCATGGGAAACAATCCTAGAAGCAGTATTCACCAACGCTTTGTGTTTTACTTTCTGCCTCCATGTTCCTTGCTTGTTTGAGTTCCTGACTTGACTTCCCTCAGTGATGCACAGTGATATGGAAATATAAGCCCAATAAACCATTTTGTCCCCAAATTGTTTTTAGTAATGGTGTGTGTACTATAGCAACAGGAAGCAAACTGGGACATCATCCTTCTTAAACATTTGTCATTGTTATTGTTCTTCTTGTTGATTTAGTTCTCATATTTATTAGTACTGGTTTTTTATTTAGTCTTTCACTTTGATTTTGTAGAGGATCATTTAATTTGTATTAATTCCAACATTCCCTAATGGTTACTTTAGAAGGATTCCATTGAAAGTATTTACGTACTAGAAGTATTGAAATTTTTATCAATATTCAGAGAGCCAGAGATACAAACTTGGTATCATACTAAGTGATAAGTAATTGGGAAAAGTATTTTTTCTCAGAAAGGAAGAGCTAGTAGGATAATGTTCTTAACATTTATTTATTAGTATATATGACATACCAGGAACTGACATAGATGCTAGGACTACATCAATAAAAATAATTTGGTTGAGGTTAAGGTTTGGTCAATGAAAACCCTCGAGTAAGCTCAGCTGTAGCCATCCACTCATACAGTTCATAGTAACAGTAACACAGCAACACTGTTGGGAACATCCATGACATTGGCTATTCAGCAATCAGAGAATTAAATACAAACACTTCGCTTAAGAAAAAGCATTATACTCTAATAAATGATATCAAAAATTAATATTAGGACAATCATGGGTAAATAGTTATAGATAAACCTTTGAGTATTAGGAAAATATATTAATATTCAGTTTTGTTGTTTATATTCTGGGGTAAATCTTTTTGTTGAAAATGCTACACTGTCTCCATAATAAAAAAAGAAATAGTCTTACATTAAAATACTCCAGAACGCTAGTCATTATTTAGCCAAAATCAAAGGTGATTTTTAGCCAGAATTCCCTCCTTTTTTGCAGGCTTCTTCTCTGTAGATTCTCTTGTGCATGTGCTTTCTCTCTGCTGTAGACTGTGCTTCAAAGGGCTAAGCTCAAGAAGCTCCTGTATTTTCTGTGTCAGCAAAGACTTTCTTTTCCTTCAAGCAAATTATTAGAGAGAGATTCAGAATGACTTTAGGGAAATATATTCCATCTTTCCTAGAGACAGAATTTCATCCCACATAAGCACTCTTCTGCCTATGTCTTGTGCAGAACTGCAATTTCTAACCCATGTCTGGACACGCAAATCAATCCCATTACAGGGTAACAGGATTTGTCTGCACACCTCTGTGTATGCCTTTGGTAACTGAGGAGTCCTTCACAGTAGGCTGGGCTTTTTCTTTAGGGATATTCTGACATCTGTCCAAATAATTTCACTCTGTGATGCATTCGTTTCATTTAAAACCACCAAGAGGGTGAGAGACTAGTGGCTGGGAAAGGACCAGCATTTAACTACTTGCAATGTAACTACAGAATGAAGCCAGCAGCTGTGTTCTTACACTATCACTTTCACATCCTGCTCATTCTTAATGCCTGATGTGGCTAAAGGCTGTCAAATAGCAGTTTTGTCTATACAGGAGGTCTGGAGAATGCAAGTACCCTAACCACCTGGACAAAAAAAAAAGTGTGTTTTGGAAACTCCCAACACCACATTACAGTTTGGGAGCTGAATGGTAACTTACGTTAGCAGTAACATCAGAATGGAGCTAGAACTATAAGATTTATATGTATGGAAGTTTGTCCCACATGCCACACATGCCCGTGTCGGAGCATCACTCTACCTATGCTTTCACTCACTTCAACTCTCCTTTGGAATGATTCTCTTCTTTGTTTGTAATCTCATCTTTAAATAATACTGACTTGAAAGTTACTACTATCATGTGTCTTGTTTCTTGCCCATATTATCTATAATCCTTAAAACCTTTGTATATATTAGAAGTAATTCCATCACTGTTAAAGAAATAAATTTGGGTATGGCAATTTCAACCTCCAAAATTTCTAATCATAACTAGAAAAGTTAGACAACAGGAACAACTGACAAGTCAGGAACAAATCTATGATCTAACACCAAAGACCACTTATTAATATGAGCTCTACATGTACCTTTAGTTATTTATGACCCCATTGATTAGATATTGATATATTGAACAATTTTCTAATTGTTAATTGTGATCACACTACCAAAAACCATTTTTCCTCCACTGAGCATGCTCTTATCCAACCTTGGTTTTGTTAGACCCCAAAACATGCAGTGGCATTGAGCCTGCTGGACTAAGGACTTGCTTTGCAACTTCCAACTTTTCTAGTCATACTAAAAAATAACTAACTTAAAACAAAGCCCTAACTTCATATACAAGTGCTTTATTACCATATTTTGAAAGATCCACTGTCTATAAATTAAGTGAAATACTGATAAGTTTAATCTTTAATTTAATAATTTAACATTATTTAAAGGTTTTAATTGGTTTCAAAGATAAAGTATATATAGTGTTCAATAGTGTTTATAATTTCACAGAGCTATGCAAGTATAAAATATTTAGTTACATATACATCTCCTAAAATTGGAGTGGAGTCTTTTGCCATGATACAGGCACATGCATTTTAATGAAACAGAAAAAAAAAAAGAGATTCAAAATCTCCCAATCCTTGCTATAGGATGTCAGGCTAGGCTTGTGGCTCTTGAGACTCTCAAATGCACTTGTGATTCAACTTTTTCTGAGACCATGACAATTTGAAGCATTAGAAAAAAATTTTTTTTAGAAATTAAAATATTTCCTATAAAAGACTTACCCTTTGCTTCCCAAATAAAAAGAGGGTATAATGTTTAGTCTAAAAGAAGCTTGAAACGTATAGAATAAAGTTGTCTTTCATACAGGTGGAGAAGTAGAGTTATGTAAATAATATGAGACATCAATACTCCACAGAGAGAGTGTGTTAGTAAAGGGTAGGGCTTGAAATAGAGTACTATCCCAAACACATGTTGACTTCATAAAGAGCTTAGTGATGAAAACTAGCATGTCATGAAAGTGGAACTATGCAGTACCATTCAGTGATACTGTCCCACTATCACTCCAGCAATGGGACAATTTGTGACTCCCATTTCTCTTTTATATCTTCATCGGGTAGGGGAAACTGTTGAAGAGTAAAATGAAAGAGGAAAGGAAAAAATAACTTTAATTCATCCTCATATTTGTTTGCCAAGTAATATACTCTGACAATAGAAGAGAAAGATTTAAAGCTGGTACAAAAATTTGAACTTAAGTTGGGCTTTTCTATATTAATGGAATCTACTCACTGCAATTTTAGTTGTATGGGAAGATTGATTCCTTGTATTCCATTAAGAAATGAAAGAAATACAACACATGCCATCATTATACACATGTTAGGTAAAACAGGCATCTTAGCTAAGAAATGAGCTTGTAAACAATATAATAATATTCTTTTCAAACAATGTATGATTGCAGTTCTTATAATATCATATATATCACTATGTACAAATATTTGCAGCATATTATATTATGAAAAATCCTTGGGTCAATGATAATGTACATGACAACAGAATTCAGAGTTCCAAGGAATCTTAGGACCTTTGTGGTGCAGAATTTATCTATGTTGAATATAGAGTTAGACATAATATCTGTATGGAATGAGAAGGCCTAAAACTCTACACATGTATTGCATCAATATGAATGTTCTGTGCTTGATTTTATAAGATTTTTTTAAATCTGTAATCTTGATACTGGCAGAACTTACATGGATATTATTAATAGTAATTTATGAAATGATAATCATAGTTTTAGACCCTGATCATGAAAATTATAATACACTCACTATCTTTTACATTTAACTTCATATTTGGCTTTTTTCATGAATATTTACTCAGGATGTTGTAAAACTACGTTGCTTTTGTAAGTTGCAAGTGAATAATTCCTTGTTACCATTGAAACATATGACAGCAGAATAAGGCAAAAATGTAATCAATTGTAATTTACCCACAGTTATTCTTATTTATCTAAAACATTTTTCTAGAAACACCTTTTTCTAGAAAATAGCCCCAGTTACATTAATTATGGACAGGGTATTTGATACAGAGTTTATTGGCATTTCTTTCTGATTTCCCCTTCCCCGGTGCTATGAAATAAGGAAATAAGTGACTGCATACTACTCATCCATAAGTGGGAAAAGTACATCATACACTGCCACCCCCAGGGACCAGGGAACATCACGAAAGTGTGAATGGAAAGACTGTAGTAGCCAGAATATACTGGTAAACAGTTTCTCTTGGACCTCTCGGCTTCCCAGTAAAGAAGTCACAAAATTACACAATTTAATGTTTTTATATTATTTTCTTTTAGCTTTACTCTCTACTTGGACTATGTGCTTCTAAATTGAACATAAAATTGCAGAAAAATATTTTGTTAGATTAGTGTGCATTTTTTCAAGGGAATAAAAGGAGGAAAAACAGGTAAAGGAAAATAGAAGAAAGTGTCAAATTAAAACAAACAAACAAAAAACCTCTAAAACCTTTTATTGTGTAAAAGCATAGTCAGCTGGGTGTGGTGTACATGCCTTTAGCTCCAGAACATTGGAAGAAGGTACAGGATGATCTCCATGATTTGGAGGTCGGCCTGATCTACATATTAAAGCACTGTCTTCAATAAAACAACATAAATAACAGCATCAACAAAACAAGCCACTCATAATACATGCAGATTCTATTTATATAAAGAGCTCCCTATTGAGTAGTCTTAGTTCTTTTAAAACATAAAAATAAAAATGTTCTCATTACAGTGTCTTCCTTTTCTGTTCAAACATGTTCTCAAGTAAAAATGTTTGCTAATTGTGAAGTAAGGAAATGGCTGTTATAATTCTAAATTTCCTTTGCAAATATTCTCCAAGTATTCAAATATCTGTTTCATTGATTCATTTGCATAAAATATCCATGTACACAGGGACCTGCAAAGAGAAAGCTTAGCCAGTTTTAAAGGAGCCCAGAACCAGAACATAAGTGCAAAAATTAAAAGCTTATTATGATAATAATGATTATGATTATTATTTATATATGTTCTTACATGTGTGGATGTATGTATGTGAGTGAGCTAGTGTGAGTACACATGTGTGGAATTGAACAGTGAGGCCAGAGGACTTCATTGGGTATTGCTTCTCAGACACTCTTTACTTTGATTTTTTGTTAAGAAAGGATTTCTCACTGGCTTAGGGCTTACCAAATAGTCTAATGGGCCAGAGAACCCCAGGATTTCCACTGTCTATGTATTCTCTTGCTGAGATTATATATGCATGCCACCATACAGGACTTCTTTTGTTTGATATGTGTTCTAGACAGCAGACTAATGTCACCGTGCTTGTAAGTCAAGCATTTCACAGGCTGAGCTCCATCTCCAGCCCCAGTTCTCAAGTGATAAAATTGAAAATGGACAAGTTAGATTTTGACAGCATAAGGCAAAGTGCAAACTAGTTGTCATCTGGATGACACACCTTATTCTTCTCTTAAGCATATCAGTCTAGAAGTGTGGATACTTGGCATCAGTGGAGGTCAATTAGCAAATGTAATTCTTTACTAGCTCAAATTTATATTAATATGTAGTAATTGGGAAAAGAGCACATGTTTTGATTCCGCATTGGAGGTAAACATGGGACCTTGCAAGTGGTAGGAAATCATCTTAATCCCAAGTTACATCTACAGTCATCAAAATAGTTCTAAAATATTATAGTTATCTGTAACATGACTTGATAATGAAATAAAAAGGAGCAGCACTTAACTCACTGAAGACAAAACTACCTGTGTTCTAATGTTAGATATGAGAACATTGCATCTTTCACAGCATGTAGAAAGACAAAACCTATTGTATGACTTTTCCAAAGGTAAAAGATTCTTCCATCAGAATAATTGATTTCTTGCCATGATTGCATGATATGACCTTTCTTTTTAAAAAAATAGATTTTTTTCAAATAATATATTGTGATTATGGTTCCCACTCCCTCTAATTCCTCCCAGTTCTTGTCTACCTTCCCTCCATCTGGATCCACCAGATTTCTGTCTCTCCTTAGAAAAGAGACAGGCTTCGAAGAAATAAATAAATAAATATATATATATATATATATATATATATATATATATATATATATATATATATATATATATATAAATTTTATATATAATAAAAAGATCAAATTCAACCTAACACATCAGAATAGCACAAAACAAACAGATGGAACATAATCTGAAAGATGGTACAAGAAACAAAGACTGATTCTTTCTTAAACTCAGAAATCCCTTAAAAGCACTAAATTGGAATTCATTTTATATATGTATGTATATATAAATAAAATAAAAATATTAAGATAAAATTAAAAAATATATATATTTTTAAAAATTAAAAGGCCTGACATAACATGGTGAAGTAAGGAACTTGCAAAGATGCTTTTGATTCATTTTTTGTTGGCCATCTACTGCTAGGCATATAGCTTATACCCTTAAGAGTAGTTTGTTTCTACAATAAGACTCCCTTAGATAAAATTAAATTTTCATTTTCAAGAAGTTATACATTGGAGTTAGCTTCTCAGTTAGGGATAGAGGCATATGTACTCTTGGTTCAGCTCCAGGATATCATCTGGTACAGACCCCTGCAGGTCATATAGATTCTGCCTCAGTCTCTATGAGTTTATATACGTGTTGATATTGTTGATCCTGAGGGTCTTGTTTTCTTGGTCCTCCATCCCCTCTGGCTTTTACAGTTTTTTTCTGCCACCTCCTCCTAAGAGTTTCTTGAGCCCTGAGAGGAGGAATTTGATGAAGATTTTGATGTCTGGTTTAGAGCTGAATGTTTTTAAGGTTTCTTATTCTCTGCACAGTGTTTGGCTGTGGCTATCTGAATTTGTTTCCATCTGCTGTAAGAGGAAGCTTCTCTGGTAATGGCTCAGCAAGGCTCTGATCCATGAATATATAACAAGGAGTAATTTTATTGCTAATTGTTTTCTTTTAAGAATAGTAGTATTTGATTTTTTCCTAGGTCCTTGAAATATCTTTTCTCAAGGTCTTGGTCACCCAAGCAGTTTCATGTGGTTTCTACCTCATAATGTGGGCCTTATGTCAAATCAGGTATTGGTTGGTTACTCCCACAGGTTGCGTGTTACTATTGAACTAGCATATATGCTAGGCAGGACATCATTACACATCAAAGGGTTTGTTGCAGGGTTGCTAATTATGGTTCTTAATTGGTAGTATACAGTGTACATTCCTGTACCAAAGATACTACCTTGTAAGCATGAACACACTATATGGGCATGAGCTCAATTTTCTCATGGACAAAGAAATGTGTAGGTGTTGTCTGAATCAACAGGATTCAGTTTTTTTACTTTACTTTCAGTTTCTGTAGATCATCCTTTAGTCTTGTCAATAACCTGAGCTGTTTGGCAGTTCCCATGGAAACCCTTTCACCAACAATTTGATTAGATATAACCCAATGCCAGTACTAGAGTCTTCATTTGGTGACAAGACATGACCAATTAGGGCTCTGTCTCCCCCATTATTTGGCAATGTCATTTAAACTGCCTTCATATACGTATGTTGTAAACAAACTTTTAGTGTATCATATTCCCATTCTACCTCTCAAATGGCTTTTAATTTCAACTGTCTTCTCAGGTATCTCTCCCCTTCTCCACTTGATCTTCCCTTCTGTTCCTGGCATACCATCCATCTACAAACTATCTATTTTAGTTCTCTTTGCTAGAAATGTCAATCTGCACCCTCCTCTGTGCCTCATTCTATACCTAACGTCTGTGGTACTATGAATTGTAACTTGGTTATTATTGATTTAACAACTAATAGCCACATATAAGCAAAGGCATACTATATTTGTCTTTCTGTGTCTGGGTTATTCATTCAGGATGATTTTTCTAGTAAATTTCATGATTTCATTG